GTGCGCCTCGACCATGCCGGCGCGCCTCGGCCCGTCCCTACCGGCGCGCCTCGGCCCGCCCCTACCGGCGCGCCTCGGCCCTACCTGCGCGCCTCGGCCCGTCCCTGCCGGTGCGCCTCGGCCCTGCCCCACCACTTGCGACCCTCTGCCCTGGTAAGAGCATCGCCGCGCTGCGCTGCTACTGCTGCCACTACTGCTCCTACTGCCACTGCTGCTCCTGCTGCCACTGCTGCTACTGCTGCCACTGCTGTCATGGCTACCCCTAGCGTCCTCGTCTTTGATGCTGAGGGTCGGGCTGTTGACTTTGAGGTCTGGGTCGATGATCTGCAGCTTTCCCTACAGTGCGATAGGAAAGACGGCCTCTCCCTATTCGATCTCACGTCTGGTGCCTCTTAGCGGCCCCGTTGCCGCCCTTCCAGGCCCCTTGCGGCCCCTTCGCGGCCCCGTCGCCGCCCTTCTTGGCCCCTCACGGCCCCTTCGCGGCCCCGTCGCCGCCCCTTTCGCGGCCCGTCGCCGCCCTTCCAGGCCCCTCGCGGCCCCTTCGTGGCCCCGTCGCCGCCCCTATCGGCCCCGTCGACGCCGCCAGCGGCCCCGTCGTCGACCCTAGCGGCCCCGTCGCCGCTCCTATCGGCCCCGTTGCAGCCGCCAGCGGCCCCGTCGCCGCCGCCAGTGGCCTCGTCGCCCACCCTAGCGGCCCCGTCGCCGCCACTTGCGGCCCCGGCCCCGCCCCGGCCACACCCCGTCGCCAACCGCGGCGCACAGGGGGCACGTGCACCGCCCCCCCCCCCCCTTTTCCCGCGCCCAGGGAGGCTGCGCGTCGCCCCTCCCCCCCCCCCCCCCCGTAACCTCCCTACCCGCCATCCCGCCCTGCCCTGTGTTCGGGTTTGGGGGTGGCGAGTGGGGGGGTGGCGGGTGTGTGGTCTCCCCTGCTCCTCCTCCTCTGTCTCCCACTGCTGCAGCTGCCGCTGAGGGGGGTGGGTGTGTGGGAGTCGACGGAGTGGTGCCAGGGGGTGGGGTGTGAGTGAACCTAGGGGTGCAGTAGGGGGTGTGTGAAATGGGGGTGGGATAGTTTGGGGAGGTTGAAAGGGGTGGCCGCCGAGAAGCCAGTAGCTCCAGTCGCCCGTGAGACCGTTGCGCCAGTCGCCCGTGAGCCCGTTGCGCCAGTCGCCCGTGAGCCCGTTGCTCCAGTCGCTCGTAAGTCCGTTGCTCGTCTTCCGCTACTTTTAGTCGCAGAGCCAGTTACTCCATTAGCCCGTGTGCCACTTGCGCTTGTTGCCAGTGTGCCAGTTGCTCTAGTTCCTATCAGAATATTATAGCTTATGCTGTTTTGTAGGCTATAGTGGGGTATCCCAAAGGGGGTACAACCCAATTAGGGTTTCCTATATGTACTCACTTCATTCATAGTTCATTCATTCTCGTTCTACTTTTCTCATGGTATCGAGCAGGTTCCTCCGTGGGAACTGTGCCTAGGGCCCACCACATCGATTATTTTTTTCCTGCCCGAAGCGCGCTCGGCCTGAGTCGCGCTCCGGGCCCTCTCTCTTGCTTTGTCGAGCCGCCCTAGAGGCCCCGCCGCCCGTCGAAAAGGCCCCGCCGCCTCACACTCACGCGGCCCCGCTGCCTCCCTCGTCGCGGCCCCGCCGCCTCTCTTGACGCGGCCCCGCCGCCCTTCGTCGCGGACCTGCCGCCCTTCGTCGCGGCCCCGCCACCCCTCGTTGCGGCCCCGCCGCCTCTCTCATCGCGGCTCTGCCGCCCTTCGTCGCGGCCCCGCCACCCCTGGTCGCGGCCCCGCCGCCTCTCACGTCGCGGCCCCGCCGCCTCTGCAGTCGCGGCCCTGCCGCCCTTCGTCGCGGCCCCGCCACCCTCCTTCGCGGCCCCGCCGCCTCTCTCGACGCGGCCCTGCCGCCCTTCTTAGCGACCTTGCCGCCCTTCGTCGCGGCCTCGCCGCCTCTTCTTCGCGGCCCCGCCGCCTCTTCTTCGCGGCCCCGCCGCCTCTTCTTCGCGGCCCCGCCACCTCTCCTTCGCGGCCCTGCCGCTCTTCGTCACGGCCCCTGCCGCCCTACGTCGCGGCCCTGCCGCCCCTCGTTGCGGCCCCGCCGCCATTCTTCACTGCGGCTCCGCCGCCCTGCACCGCCTGCTCCGCCCGAACCACCTGAGCCGCCCGAGCCGCCCGAGCCACCTGAGCCGCTGAGGAGCCGAGCCGCCCGAGTCCCCTGTGCCGCTGAGGACCCGAGCCGCCCGAGCCGCCTGTGCCGCTGAGGACCCGAGCCGCCCGTGCCGCCTGTGCTGCTGAGACCCGAGCCGCCCGAGCCGCCTGAGCCACCCGTGCCGCCCGAGCCGCCTAAGCCGCCCGAGCCGCCTGAGCCGCTGGTACAGCGGAGCTGCTGTTGCTGCTGGGCCGTCCGAGCAGCAGTGTTGCCGTGTTGTTGTGCTGCTTAGCTGCTCGAACCGCCCTGTCTGGTGAGAGCAACACCTCTGTCACTGCACTACCCCTGTCCTACAGTCAGTACTGCTAGTCTACTGCTGTCATGGCTACCCCTAGTGTCCTCGCCTTTGACGTTGAGAGTCGGGCCATTGACTTTGAGATCTGGGTAGATGACATGCAGCTGTTCTTACAGTGCGATAGGGCAGACGGCCTCTCTCTCTTTGACCTCACCTCTGGCGCTTCCCCTGCCCCTGCTGCTGATGCTGACGCCACTGTTCGCTCCCAGTGGGCCACCCGCGACGCTGCTGCACGTCTTGCTGTGCGTCGCCACCTCCCTACCTCTGAGCGTGCGCACTTTAGTCAGTACAAGAGTGCTCAGACCTTGTACGACGCTGTAGTCGCGCGCTACTCCTCGCTGCACTGAGCCGTCTCATGCTACCGTACCTCTTTCCTGACCTTGCTGCCTTTCCCACAGTAGCTGACCTTATTACGCACCTCCGCACTAGTGATACTCGCTACCGCGCTGCACTTCCTGCTGAATTCTGCGCGAAGAACCCCCCCCCACGTACATCACTCTCTACTACATGGTCACTCGCCTACTTGACTCCCTTCGTGTAGTCAGGGATCTTTTCCTCTCGGTCTGTCCCACCACTTTCACTGTCGACCTCCTCGAGAAGGCGCCCTCCTAGCGATAGAGAAGAGCATAGTCGCTGTAGGAGCCTCTCGAGGTGACCCGCGCACCCCCATCTTTGAGGGGTGTTCCCCCTCCCCCCTTCTGCCCTCTGTTGTCTCTGCTGCTGCGGCCGACCTCCTTGGTCTTGAGTCCGTCGGTGCGGCGTCTGCCCCTAGCGGGAGACACCGCCCTGGCAAGGGCAAGGGGGGCAAGGGCGGTGGAGGAGCGAGCGGGGGCGGAAGAGGAGGAGGTGGCGGCGGTGGGGGGTGTGGGGGTGGCGGTGGGAGTGGAGGTGGGGGTGGAGGGGTCGGTGGCGTCTGCGTGGTAGCCCCCACTTGCACCCGCCACTGAGGGGTGCGCCGCCAGGAAGCATGAGGTGGCCGCACCCTGAGAGAAGGGAGGAGAGGAGAGTGGGGAGAGGAGGATACGGGGCGGTCAGGTGGAGGTGCAAGGAGTGTGTAAGGGGGGGGGGGGGGAGCGAGGCACAAGGTGTGTGCCTCGAGGCGGCACGATGCGAGAGTGGCTTGAGAGAGAGAGTGTGTGAGAGTAAGAATGGGCAGGGGGGGAAGGTTGAAAGATGAGGGAGCATGAGAAGTAGCCCCACTGGGCTTTGTTGCAGGGAGTGTGCACATGAGCATGGGGATAAGTTGGAACAACCATGCATGGGAAAGTACGCACACCCCCAACCATGCATGGGTGCGTGCGGGCACCCAACCATGCAGCAGTAACAGAGGGCGGTGGTGAGGTCAGGTGAGGTCAGGTGAGGTGAGGTGAGGGGAGGTGAGGTGAGGTGAGGTGAGTAGGGGTGAGGAGGGGTGAGGAAGGGTGAGGAGGGGTGAGGGGTTGGTGAAAGCTGAGGCAGCTCTTCTCCAATCACGTCAAATCGCTCTTGCAGCAGGGTTGGTTGGAGGCATATCAGTAGGGTGCAGAGTAATATAGAGTGTGTGCAGTGCGGTGAAGAGCTACTTTAACCACTCCCCTAAGGTAATGTACGGCAAAGTGCAGTGAGGCGAGGTATGAAGTAGGTGGAGGTGGAGGGTACCTCAGGAATGGTCTTCATGAACCACTGGAACACCAGGCTGTACGCTCCCCCTGGTGGTTGGTTGCACAACATGGCAGGGCAGCAGTGGACAGGCACAAGCACAGGACGAGTGGTAGTATGACAACAATGGGTGCTCAGCCAAGCCGTCGCAGAAGCAAGCTCCAAGCAGCGAGCAGGAGTTACTGCAAAAGAACAAAGCATGCTTGTGCCAAACAGCTTCCATCAAACCATCAGCCCCTCAGACGCCCCTCCTTCCCCCTCTTTCTACACCACCTAATTACCTGGCCGCCCCATCAACTATGTCCCAGGGTGTGCCTTGTAGAAGACACACCGGACAGTCGCTTACGGCACTCTGTAGCACGAAAGGCTTTGCCTTGTACCTCAAAGCGATATTGGCTCCGCGGAACAAGTTCGACACACGTCGCACTTGCTTTCGCGGACTGGTCTAACAGACCAGTATCAACCCCTGCCATTTTCCATGGCGGCCCTGTATAAATGGCTCCGACCCAAACGAACCAGGCCTCAGACCAGTTGTGTTACATGGTAACTATCTAGTGCACTTGCATTGTCCAAGATCTGGCTCACAGCTGGTTCACCCTGGTCCACAGACTACACTGCTTGGACCTCAGCAAACCAACGGTTCTGCAGACCCCATGTGGCATGCCCTGACGCACTTTGCCCTTCCCACCCACCCGCCTACCCACCCACCCGCACAGCACACCCGCCCACCGCCCCACGTACGTCCGAGGGTGTGCCAGATGGTCCCTGGTGGCACAATGTGACGTGAGAGGTTGGTGTCAATCACCCCCGGGTGCAACGCGTTCACTGTCACTCCTGCACCCTCCTCCTGCTCGCATGGATCAAGGGAGAGAAGGGAAGGGGAGAGAGGGGAGGAGGGAGGGTGATGGAGGGTGTTGGCGAGGGAAGCAGGGGGTTTTTCCATTGTTGAAGGATCGATCACCCATGGGTACAGAGCATTTACAGTCATACCTGCACTGAGGTTTTCAAAACAAACAAAAAAAAATCATAAGGGAGAGTGGGGAAGAAGAGGAAGAGATTTTTGGTGAGGAATTTGAGACGTAGCATGAAATGTGCTTTTTGGGCGCGTTTCCCCTGCCTGCTTCGTCCCTTCCCTCCCACTAATGCACACTCTCACGCACACATCCGCACACATACATACCCACCCACCCACCCAACTACACTCACACACACACCCACTCACTCACACAACACCCACATACCCACTCCTTCATACACACCCTCCTCTCCCACAGCCATGCACCTTGAGCCGCCGTGCGAGCTCCCGTGCGTGCAGGATATTAGCGAGCTTGGACTGCCCGTACGCCCTCACCGAGTCGTACCCCTCCTTGGCGTTGATGGCGTCAAAGCGGATGCCGCCCGGGTACGGGAACTGGTGCGCGGCGGAGGACACGATCACGATGCGTGCCTCTGCGCCCTCCTGCTTGGCAGTTTCCTTGAGCTTCGGCAGCAGCAGGTTGGTCAACAGGAAGTGGCCTAAAGGGGGTACGACGTGCGATGCAATTGGGTGGGGGGTGTGTGCAGGGGAAGGGGGGAAGAGGGTGAAAGGGAAGAGAGGGGGAGGGGGGGCGGAGGGACGGAAGAAAGGGGGAGAGGGAGGCAGTGGAGGTGTGGTGCGATCAGCCTGAGAGCTCCATGAGCTTAGGAATGCAACAAATGCACTCAAGCCTAGAAAGAGAACAGCCAACTGGTAGACTCTGCTTCACTCCCACCACTCCCATTCTTCCCTCACACTCCACCCCGCCACCCATGCTGTGCGCATGTAATCTGCTTGCTTGCCTCACCCACTTCATTGCTGCTCCCCTGCACTCACCCTCATGGTCGCTACTCCCCTACACTCACCCACGTGGTTGCCTCCCTGCACTCACCCACGTGATTGGTGCCGAACTGGTTCTCATGACCACCGCAGTGAGCATGAACGGGCATATCATCACGCTCGCATTGTTGCTGCCCGGGGTGGGGTGGGATGGGGAGGGGTTGGTTGAGATTGGGTGGGCCGTGGTGGGATTGGTTGGGCAGGCGAGTGGGGGGTTGTTGCATAGGAAGTGACGAAGGGAAGGGGACGGTGGGGTGGGTTCGGGGAGAGGGGGAAGGTCTGAACGAGAGGAATAAATAAGGTGAAACAGTAGAATGACTAGCATAAAGGGTAGGTGGGCAGGGAAGCAGGGAGGGAGGAGAGCGAGGGAAGGAGGGAAGTGTGTTGTGATGGGGCACGGGGCAGCATGGCAGTGGGGCAGCATGGCAGTGGGGCAGCATGGCAGTGGAGCAGCATGGCAGTGGAGCAGCATGGCAGTGGAGCAGCATGGCAGTGGAGCAGCATGGCAGTGGGGCAGCATGGCAGTGGAGCAGCATGGCAGTGGAGCAGCATGGCAGTGGAGCAGCATGGCAGTGGAGCAGCATGGCAGTGGAGCAGCATGGCAGTGGAGCAGCATGGCAGTGGAGCAGCATGGCAGTGGAGCAGCATGGCAGTGGGGCGGCATGGCAGTGGGGCAGCATGGCAGTGGGGCAGCATGGCAGTGGGGCAGCATGGCAGTGGGGCAGCATGGCAGTGGAGCAGCATGGCAGTGGGGCGGCATGGCAGTGGGGCAGCATGGCAGTGGGGCAGCATGGCAGTGGGGCAGCATGGCAGTGGGGGCAGCATGGCAGTGGGGCAGCATGGCAGTGGGGCAGCATGGCAGTGGGGCAGCATGGCAGTGGGGCAGCATGGCAGTGGGGCAGCATGGCAGTGGGGCAGCATGGCAGTGGGGCAGCACCAACAGCAGATCATTTAAACTCAACTGAACCTGTTATCATAAAAGCCCAATGCCCCTCCATTTACCCCATTCCCCCTATTCCTCCCATTCCCCTCCTCCTGCCCCTCCACCCCGTTCCACCCCTGCCCTCCCCCTTCTTCACCCACTCACCCCCTCCCCCTCCCTCGCCCCCTCCCCTCCCCCCCGCACCCCTTCCATCTCCGCGCGTACATGAGCAGGTGCAGCGGGCGGTTAAGGCCCAAGTAATCCGTGGCGAACCCGCGCACCGACTTGAGCGACGCCAAATCCAGCGGCATCACGCTCACGCGCTCGCGCACCGCCGCCGGAACCCCCGCCGCCGCTGCGCTCCGCCCCTCAATGTCCTTGATGATGGTGGCTTTGGCGGCCTCCCCCGCCTCCGTGTTCCGCACCGCGAGCACCACGGACGCGCCTCGCAGCGCCAGCACCCGCGCCGTCTCCGTGCCGATGCCGCTGCTGCCGCCTGGGGGGAGGAAATTCGCGCCACAAGGGTGTCGGGAGAGGGGGAGGAAGAAGAAATTAGCGCGGCGGAAAGAGAGAGGGGCGACATGCGCGCGTGGGGAGAACATTGGCACGAGGACGAGGTTCGCGCGGGAAGGGGAATTCGCGAGTGCTGAATGAATTTGGGCGCGGGGGAGGAGGAAGGCTGGAGTGGAGGACTGAAATTTTTTTCAGACATGGCACAAACAGCTTTTGAGGCGTCTTACACGCTTTTTCACAATGGCGCGGGGAAGAGACTAGGGTGGAAAAGAAAGGGGAGTGGAAGTACGGGCAAGGGCGAGAGGACGGGCGGACGAGCGGACGAGCGGATGAGAAAGATCAGTTTGATTGAGAAAGGCGAAGACGAGAAAGAAATGCAAGGGTGGTAAAGACTCGTTGGGTGGAAGGTAGGAGAGTGGGAGAGAATAGCTCATACTGCCGCTGCACTTGCTGCTCCCGTGCCTCACATCTGCGGTATCAAAGCATCCCTACCCCTCACCACCTCCCCCTTCTCCCCCCCCGTCCCCTCACCACCTCCCCCTCCTCCCCCCCCGTCCCCTCACCACCTCCCCCTCCTCCCCCCCCGTCCCCTCACATGTCCTCCCTTCTACCGTGCCCTTTTATCCTTTCCCGTACCACACAAACACGCAGGATATTTGTGATCCACATTCTCTCCCCTCACCCCCGTATTTCCCCCCTCTTTTCCCCGTTTCTCCCCGTTCCTCTCCAATTTGTCTCCCGTCCTCCTTTACTGCATACGGCGAAACCGAATCATCGATGCTCTTACCCATTACGATTGCCACTTTGCCGCTCAAATCGACGCCCGCCGTCACATCTTCCGCCGTCGACCGGTAGCCGAACTTTGACGGATCAGCAACCGCTGACGTTGACGGTGACGGACAAAGCCATAACAGCAGCCGAGAGGATCAGAGTTATGGCGAGTAGAGCCCAGCGGTAGTGTCGCATGGAAAGAGATTGCGACGAGAGCGACGCTAGCGACGACCGACGGAGAGAGAGGACCCACGAGAGACGCGCTACCAGGAACCATACTCTGAACTGGACGGAGCACGCTCACACGACACGACTCTGCTTCCCGGCGACGAGAAATTTTGTTATGCGATATCGCCAATTCGCTTGGTAACCATTCTGCGGAAATACAAGTGTCATCTCGTCTCCCCCTTCTAGTCAGTCAGACTCACCACTGTGTGGGTCCTGAGAGCTCGCACACGTACATGTGGTGCGTAGCGATTGCTCGAGTTAGATCCGGATTCTTGATCTGTTAGCTACATGCATACCAGAACGTTGCCAAAACATCGACGTGTGCCAATGACGCGACAAATGACGTTGTCAAAATGCTGCGACCACGTGGTCAACCCTCACAGTGTAAGCACAGAAGCGATTAAGAGCCGCTACCACTATGGGCATGAAATACAACATCGTAGTATGCCGCCTATACTAGTCTGACCGGATCTTTGCAGCTCGAGTATCAATGTAATAGAAGCGTTTTGATCAGCGCTAACCGTTGGACGGAATATGACGGACCGTATGGCGGATATAGGCGCATATGCGCTTATAACGGCGCTTGGAGCGGCGCCGGAGACAAATACGAGAGGATCAGAGTCGGAGCGTCACAATGCAGAATCTCGGCGATATTCTGGCATGGACGCGCAGCCAGTCAGGTCTTCACGAGTCGTTGAAATCTAACTCGCTGCATGGATTGACGACGACAGTGGCGACGGAGAGAGAGGACCCACGAGAGACGCGCTGCCGGGACCAGGAACCATACTCTGAATTGACGGAGCACGCTCACACGACACGACTCTGCTTGGTGCTGGGGTAAGTGGCGCGGCGACGAGAAATTTTGTTATGCGATATCGCCAATTCGCTGCAGAGCCTGAGTGGTAACAAATTTGTAAACTAGGTGCGGAAATGGCATTCACTGCGGAAATACAAGTGTCATCTCGTCTGTCCCCTTCCTGGGTCAGTCAGACTCACCACTGAAAAAGTGTGGGTCCTGAGAGCTCGCACACGTACATGTGGTGCGTAGCGATTGCTCGAGTTAGATCCGGGTTCTTGATCTGTTAGCTACATGCATCCCAGCCTGGCAGAACATCGACGTGTGCCAATGACGCGACAAATGACGTGCGTCGAAATGCTGCGACCACGTGGTCAACCCTAAGAGACGGGCACAGTGTAAGCACAGAAGCGATTAAGAGCCAGAGTGTAGGAGCTACCACTATGGGCATGAAATACCCAACACAAATTATTGCATAGTACCGTATAGTTCCGGCTAGAAGACCCGGGAGACTCTCTACGAATGCTTAAAAATATGCTTGGGTGGACATAATGGCGGTTGCAAATTTTGAAGACCCGGGGTACACTTATTTGTCATATATCAATCTGTCATTTATGGAGTACAGTTCAATTTGGGGCACGGGGGGTCTTATATTCAGAGTTCTCCTCTAGCCTTCTGCAAGCCTACTATCGTGCACGAGGCATCCGTCAGACCTTCACGCTTCCGGACTCTCCGCAGCAAAATGGGATTTCTGAGCGCCGCATTGGCATGGTCATGGACGTCGCTCGTACGTCTATGATGCATGCGGCTGCCCCCCATTTTCTGTGGCCGTTTGCGGTCAGGTACGCGGCGCATCAGATCAACCTTCACCCCAGGGTCTCCAAACCCGAGACCTCCCCTGCCTTGCTGTGGACGGGGAAAGTTGGCGATGCGTCGGCGTTCCGGGTCTGGGGATCTCGGGCGTTTGTCCGCGACTTGTCTGCGGACAAGCTGTCCCCTCGTGCTGCTCCTTGCGTCTTCCTGGGGTTCCCCCCTGACGCGCCTTGATGGCAGTTCTACCACCCCACCTCTCGCCGTGTTCTGTCCTCCCAGGACGTCACGTTTGACGAGTCGGTCCCCTACTACCGCCTCTTCCCCTACCGCACTCCCTCCCTCCCCCCGCCCCCGCTCTTCCTTGTACCTGGTCCCCCCCCGGTAGACCCCCTCCCCCCTCAGGGTCCTGCCCCTTCAGGTGTGTCCCAGGTAGACGCAGTCGAGCGTGTCGAGGTCACTGGTGAGTCTGGTGCTGCTGAGGGTGCTGAGCTTGGGGGTGCTGAGACTCGTGGTGCTGAGCCTGGGGGTGCTGGGCCTTGGTTGCTGAGCCTGGGGGTGCTGAGCCTGGGGGTGCTGAGCATGGGGGTGCTAAGCCTTGGGGTGCTGGGCCTGGGGGTGCTGAGCCTGGGGGTGCTACGCCTGGGGGTACTTTGCCTGGGGGTGCTGAGCCTGGGGGTGCTTCGCTTGGAGGTTCTCCGGGTACTTCGTCTCTGCGGGAGCCACTCTCTCCACAGGAGCTGCGCGAGTGGTTTGCCCGGCGCTGGAGCCGTGCTGCTGGTGCTGGAGGTTCTTCCGCTACTGAGGGTGCTGCTGTCGCGGGTCCCGGAGGTGCTCATACTGTTAGTACTGGAGCTGCTGGGCCTGCGGGTTCGACTAAAGCTGGTGCTGCTGAGCGTGTTGGCGTTGAGACTACTGTTGGCGGTCCTGCAGGGGGTAGTCCTGGTGCTGCTGGAGGTTCTGGAGCTGCTGGAGGTGCTGCTGGAGCGGGTGCTCCTGCTGGGGGTACTGGTGCTGTCCCTGCTGTGTCTCGCGTTTCCGCGCGGCCTCGACCGTACTTTGTTCAACTCCTGCAGCAGGTTCTTGGTCTTTGCCTTCTACTAGTCCTCCTCCCTTAGAGTGTCCACAGCCTGTCCCGTCGCACTTACAGTTACAGCCGGCCTCCCCACTGCCTGCTCCTTCTCCCTACACTGGTCCTACTGGAGGTCTTACTGAGCGTCGTGAGCCTGCGTCTTGCCCTGCGTCGCCTGTCCGTGCTGCTCGCACTAGTGGTGGTGGTTTGCGTCAGCGTCCTCCTCCTGTCCCTTGCACACACCGGATGTCTCTACGTCCGTCCACTGCTCCTTTGCGTGCCCCTTTGCCTTCTACTCCTGAGTCCTCTCTTCCTACTCTTGCCAACCCACAGTCGGACTCTCTTCGTGCTGCCAGTCCTACTGTCACGCGTCTCCTTGCTACTGTAGTCACTGACCCTTCCTTCGAGTCTACTGCTGCGTCTGCCCTTGTAGCTGAGCTCGTCGACTTTGCTGCTTGCTATCGCCTAGACTACGCTGCTAGTCTTGTCGCTCAGTCTGAGCCTGTCTGTCCTCCGTCCGTCGGGGGTGAGTGTTCCCTTGGCACGGACGTCCTTGTGGACAGGTAGGAGGAGTTCCAGTGTCTGGCAGCTGCTTCACCTCATCTCGTGTCCTTACTGCTTACCCCTGAGGGAGACCCGGATGCACTTGACATCCCGACTCCGCGCTCTTACGCGGAGGCGATAGAGGGTCCCTACTCCTCTTAGTGGAAGGCAGCTATAGATGCAGAGATGGCTTTCTGGAAGTCCACAGGCACCTACGTTGACGCTGTCCCCCCTCCTGGGGCGAACATCGTCAGTGGCATGTGGATCTTCAGGGTGAAGCGGCCGCCGGGTTATCCGCCTGTCTTCAAGGCGCGTTACGTGGCTCGTGGCTTCAGTCAGCGGCAGGGAGTTGACTACTTTCAGACCTTCTCCCCCACCCCGAAGATGACCACTCTTCGGGTACTGTTGCACGTTGCTGCTCACCGTGACTACGAGCTGCACTCTCTCGACTTCAACACAGCTTTCTTCCAGGGCAGCCTACACGAGGAGATCTGGCTGCGCCGCCCACCTGGCTTCACTGGGTCTTTCCCTCCTGGTACCCAGTGGAGTCTCCGGCGTCCAGACTATGGTCTCTGCCAGGCGCCACGTGAGTGGCACGACACACTGAGGACTACGCTTGCCGCTCTTGGGTTTGCTCCTTCTACTGCCGACCCGTCGCTGTTTCTGCGCACCGACACCTCTCTGCCGCCGTTCTACATCCTCGTGTACGTGAACGACTTGGTCTTTGCCACAGCTGACACTGCTGGACTCGCCTACGTGAAGTCTGAGCTGCAGAAGAGAGACACGTGCAATGACCTGGGTGAACTGCGCAGCTACCTTGGCTTGCAGATCATCCGGGACAGAGCACGCCGCACCATGACCCTGAGTCAGTCACACATGGTGCAGCAGGTCCTTCAGCACTTCGGCTTCACGTACTCCTCGCCTCAGGCCACTCCTCTGCCCACTCGCCACTCGCTCTCAGCTCTGCCTTCGGATGAGTCCGTAGAGTCGAGTGGCCCGTACCCAGAGCTTGTTGGCTGCCTCATGTACCTGATGACCTGCACACGACCTGACCTTGCATACCCTCTTAGCATTCTTGCACGCTATGTTGCTCCTGGGAGACACCGACCAGAGCACATGGCTGCAGCGAAGAGGGTGTTGCGCTACTTGTGCAGTACGTCGGGCATGGGGCTAGTGCTTGGAGGGCGGAGTCCAGTGGTCCTCACTGGGCACGC